CCCCGCCCCCGCCGCTCGCCGACAGTGGAAGGTCGGGGACCTTGTTCTCGCCAAAGTCAAAGGATTTCCTGCCTGGCCTGCTACGGTATGTACAACCCCCCTGTCTTCCTTTCGTTTTCGTTTCTGCTGTTTCTTTTATCCTGTTGCCTGAGTATCAGCTTTTGATTCTGCATGAATTCCGTTCAACTTTCGTAGTTTTGTCAGATGGGTGGTGGAAGAATCTCTCTCTTTAGGTTTTGAAGTTGCTTATCTATGTATTAGATGGGTTTTTTAGTTGGATCTTTGTGCCGTTTGTTAATTTAGGGATTGTTTTCTTATATTTGATCGGCAAGAAGTATTTCAGGAGGATACGGCATGTTTTTTTGGTTGTTGTTAGATACAAGAACACGGATGAGCAAATGCATCCTTTCACTCTTGCGTACCAACGGCAGTGGCTTGAATCTTGATTTCAGTTGCATCAGAATTTCCTGTAATAAATTTGTAGGCTCCTTGTCTGGTGGTGTCTTGGTTAATGTGTTGGTTGCATCTAATCTACCTGTGTAGTTATCTCCTTTTTTCCACTTTGTGCCCTCGTGTAGATTTTTATTGACGGTTATTGCCTTTGCTTATCCCTGGATGTTATTGCAGGTTAGTGAGCCAGAAAAGTGGGGTTATTCAGCCGATTGGAAGAAAGTATTGGTCCACTTTTTCGGAACACAGCAGATGTGAGTTATTATGCCTTTACTTTACCCCTCTTGTTGATTGTTTTCCTGCCTGGCTTCAGTATCCCTGTTGGTTGAATGCTAAGATCGTTGATCTGAAACTGAATACTTATTTTGTCATGTCATTTCTACTCAGTTTGAGAATATTTACGCTTATAAGAAAATTATGCAGATATATTGTAGATTAGCTCACTTCAGCATCATTGAAATTTTCTGTTCATGTCTCATGAGATTTGGACAGAGAATCAGAGACACAACTAGTCTTATTCATGCTAATAAAATGTTGGTTAACTTTGTTAAAGCATGGTGTGCTAGTCGTTGTACTGCATCACCATCCTGCCTGGGCACAGATTTCTAGGTATATACTAGTTGATGTTAGTGGACTGAAGTTTTCCCCCCTATGGTTTTGCCTTGGGACAACTTCACGTAATCTTCAGGAGCAACTTTAATGGCTTGCTGTGGGTGAGGTAATTTGCACTTTGCATTTGTATTTGAAAAATTTTGGAGATGTTGCCTGTGGAAGTCATTTGATGGGGTGAATAAGGCCCTTTACTTCATTATTTTGTGGATTAGACCTTGCTTTTAGCTACAATAGTGCATGTATGCGTCTAGCTATGGGTATAGATTAAACATTCAGTGGACATCTTATTGTTTTACCATTTCTCGATGTGAAATGATGTAAAGCTGTTAGAAGAGAGAAGTATTGCAAAAGTCTAACTGCTGGTTAACTGGTATGCATCTTATGTAGTGGCGAATTTAAATTTTCTTAGGTAGTTGACAATAGCGCTAGATTTCTCAAATTTAACCTGCTTTAAAACGTTCACTTAAGTGTTGCAACACTAAGGTTATTGTGGGTTTAAAATAAAGTATCTGACAACTATGCATCGTGTATTCCTGCATTATAGATAATTGCTCTCTTTAGGAGATATGTTTTGCAGTGGTGATAATGAACCTTATTCTGATACCAAAAAGCCTAAATTAAAGTGTTCAAAGTGGCTGTAAGATGCGTACTTTTAAGCAACCTTTCTAAATGTCTAGTGTACTGGCTTATATTATATTAGAGGCATTACAAAGCTTTTCAGTGTTTAGATAGTCAGAAATATTAGTCTTTCTGTTTAACGTTTCTTGAGCTGTTGGAGGCTATTGGGAGTGATTTTTATAGCCATTAGTTTATCACGTTAGACTTCTTCATGTTGGGTTGGCTTGGTGTTTGTCCTTTTCTACTCCCTCGATAGGTCAGGTAATTATGTGAGCATATGCAGTTGGTATAATTTTATTTATTTGAGTATATTTTATGAGCAGAGCTTTCTGCAATCCTGCCGATGTCGAAGCGTTTACAGAGGAGAAGAAACAATCACTTTTGACGAAACGCCATGCTAAAGGTTCAGATTTTGTCCGTGCTGTAAAGGAGATTATAGAAAGTTATGACAAGCTGAAGCAGCAGGAGCTAGCTAATGATAAAAAAGTTTCTGAAGATGTGACTCTTGTGAGTGGTAGGGATACTGTAGAACCTTTGCAAGATAGTGAAATTCCGACTGGGGCAAGTCTTGAAACACAAGCAAAATCAGACTCTAGTCAAGGTAGAGGTGAATCGACACTTCTCAGTGAAGATGCTTCAGCTGCTGAGCAAATGCTAGCCCTGCGTGATAGCAGTTTAGCACATGAGCAGGCCTGTGATAGTACAGTGGGTAAAGAACCACGAAAGATAGCTACCTACTCCTCGAGGAAAAGAGATGGAGGGGCACAGCCTCAAAGGTGCGCTCCACAAAAAACGGTGTTATCATCAAGGTTGGAATCAGATAGGCCTCAAAGCTCCATGTTGCCCTACAAAGATTGTGGTCAAAGTATCGATGACATGGATGATGGAAGTTTAAGGAGAAAGCGAACCAGGAGATCCCCCGGTCATTCTGAATCAGATGATGTGGGTGTACCAGCTGTAAATTCAAATGGAAGTGATGAAGAAAATGCTTCTGAAATCGCTACAGTTGAATCTGACAATAATAATATGAATGAAGGCAATGATGTAGATTCAAGTTCCAAAGTAGAACATTCTGAAGTCGGTGGTCAGTGTCGTGAAGTGGGTCATGAGGTCAGCAATGGGCTTGATTTCCAAATTAATACGATGGTTGTGAGGAAGAAGAGGAAGCCAACCAGAAAGCGTGGAACGAGTGACATTCTTGACCCTCCTGCTAAAGTTGAAGCAGAAGCCGGTCTTGGGCAAGGAGGATGTAATGACTGCCAGACATCACATAATTCACGTGATAGTTTGAATGAGAGACCATTAAAGGAGAATGGCGATGAACACTTGCCTTTGGTGAAACGAGCTAGAGTCAGGATGAGTAGAGCATTTTGTGCTGATGATGAGATCAATGGCTCTTCGCAGGTTGAAGAAAGATCATCAAAGGACACAGGAGTCAATGAAACAGTGCTGAAAAGCCCGTCAAGTAATCATGACAATGATGTTTCTAGTCATGATACTTCTGCAGTGGAAGAATATAAGAGTCTTGAAGAGTGTGCTAAACTCTCAGGTGATACTGCTGATGTAGTACCATCTTTTGAGAAGAAACATTCTGAAAGTATGCCTCCTTTTAAGTCTCGTGAACAGATTGTGGGAGTAAAACGAACTGCTTTGGAGCTCCGGTGGAGTGGGACTAGCAAGTCACCAGATCATGAAGCAACCCAAACGCAATCTAAGCAATTTAGCAGTTCGCCAGATGGTGAAGCTCTTATTGCCAGTGCCGCTGATGTTTCTCAGGAATGCACTGGGGCAGTGCAAAGCCTGAATTTGCAAAGCAGTGAATGTGATCCACCTGTTGTACAAAGCTTACATCACAATGATAAATCTGAAGCTCATATGGAGAACAATACAGTGGCCTCATCTGTGGATAATTATGGATTTTGCTCTGGTTTGGATACAACATTGTCAGGGTTGCCTGCTCATTCTGTTGACCATCAGCAAAGTCAGGACCAAAATTCTTGCAACCATTTGGTAGTCAATTCTGGAGATTCCGGTAATGATGAAATTCACAAAAATGATGATCTCGTGGTCCATGTTGTTCAGTCTGAAACTGTAGGTCATTCTCCAGTGCCTTGTCAAATGGTGACTAAGCAAGAGGCTGAGAAAATGCAATTGAAAGAAGACCATGAAAGCCCTAGTAAAGAACTTGATAGTGGCAAACAAATTCATGCCAACCAGAATCCAGTCCTCTCTAGAACTAAAAGTGATATGTCAGTTGAAGAAGCTAAACCTCCTTATGAAACAGGGTGCGAGGATACTGTTGCGAACCACATGCAGCTGGAAAAACTGTGAGTCCCTTTTGATGTTATTTCTCATGCTCTCTCTATTCCTCTGCTGTTTTTCCGCGAAATGGTTGTCCATTATTTTCTACTTGCAAATTTAGGGAGACTTTTAAAATTAACATGTATGGTTCGATTTCATAAACACGAGAGAATATTTTATTTCTCGATTCTTTATTGTTAAAAGGATATAGGGCATAGCTGTGAATCTAATCTATCTTAGAGTTCCATTTATTTGAATATTGTGTTTCTACTACTTCCTTTCTTTCTGTTTTTCCTTCCTTTCTATGATTGTTCTTTCTGTTTTTCCCTTTTCCTGTAGGAGTTTGCTTTTACATTTACGAGTCTAATTAGTGAAGAGGCATTATTGAGTTTTGGGCAGAGGGTTTATCAATATTATTCTATCTACATATAAAGTATTAAACAAACTGTAGAACATTTACGAGTCTCAATATTATTGAGTTTTGAGACTAACAATGGGGCATGATCATTTACAATTGTAGCGGTGAGATCAAAGAAGAAAGGAAGGAACAGATCCAGTCTGTGAATTCTGTTTCATTGTCTGAAAACATTTCAAGCGAAAAAATGGATCTATCTCCTGCTAACATTGCAGACTCTCCTGCGAGGGGCACTCCACATAGCAACTCGGTTTGCCACATTTCAACTGCAGAAAGTGCTAATGTTATGCAGAACAATGGGAGTTGCAGTCCCAATGTTCATTTCAGTGAGAAGAAAATTTCGGGGGACCCAAGCGTCAATGCAGAAGAACAAATTGAAACGCGAGTTTCTCAGGGACACAAATTTGTTGGTTCTGATATGCACTCTGCTCTTGAATCATTTGAGAGTGCTCTTGGTTCGTTGGTCAGGACAAAGGAGAGCATCGGGCGAGCAACTCGTTTGGCTGTGGACTTGGTGAAATTTGGCGTCTCTGCAAAGGTATGAACCTTCTCTACTGCCTGTACTTTTCTGTGATACATGAGAAGATTGTTGTTTGCAGTTATTTTTTTATTTTCTTCTGCTGTATATCCCCCAAATAAACTTGGGAATAAGGAGATGATGTTGTTGTTGTTGTTGTCTGCTATATAACGCTTCTTTTTTGCATCTCTCTCTTAATCTAGGCGATGGAAGTTTTGGCACATACTTTGGAAAGTGAGTCAAATTTAGAAAGGAGGGTAGACTTATTTTTCCTTGTGGATTCTATTGCTCAGTGCTCTAAAGGTCTGAAAGGTAAGTCAATATTCATATTGCATTTTGCTAAGCCACATCAATGAAGTTTCTCACAGTTGAAAACGACCAGGTGATGCTGGTGGTATTTATCTTTCGGCCATTCAAGGCATGCTGCCTCGTCTGTTGGCTGCTGCTGTCCCGGCTGGAGCTACCACACAAGAAAACCGGAGGCAGTGCCTGAAGGTATGTAATGAAGACTTGCTATAATACTCTCAGGTTTTCTTATCAATCTTTCTTCTCACCCTTTTCAGCTATTTATAGGTTTTGAGGCTTTGGCTTGAAAGACGGATCCTTCCTGATTCTACTGTTCGCCACCATATAAGAGAACTTGATTCGCATAGCATCGCTCCTGCTTGCCTCTACTCTCGCCGCTCAGCTCGAACAGAAAGAGCATTAGACGATCCTGTGAGAGATATGGAGGGTATGCTGGTGGATGAATATGGAAGGTAAGATTTTGGATTCTCTGAATCTTCATGTGTTGGTTTCCTTGTCTGTGTTGTTATTGATTAATCTACTGCTCCTTGTGCCAGTAATTCAACTCTCCAGCTTCCGGGGTTTTGCTTGCCTGCCATGCTAAAGGAGGAGGACGCAGGAAGCGATTCTGATGGAGGTGATTTTGAGGCTGTCACCCCTGAACATGATTCCAGAACCCCTGAAAAACATGTCACAGTCTCCACTGCTGAAAGGCATACGCATGTATTGGAAGATGTTGATGGTGAGCTTGAGATGGAAGATGTGGCTCCATCTTGGGAAGCCGGAAGCAGGTCATACACTGATCAGGCTGATAATGCAGAGTCGTCCAATAGTCGGCTTGGACAGCAACTTTGGCCCATCTCTGGGGTTTCACAGCAACATGTGCCCTCGTCATCTCCACCTTTGCCATCATCCCCACCACCACCACCACCACCTGCTCCCCCTTCGCAGCATGCTCAGTGCGCCATGCCTGATTCCTACTCGAATGGCTTTGATTGTGGTGGATATCCCAGCATGCATGTGTGTTCATTCTCTTGCTCTCAAGCGTTCATGGCAAATGTAATTTTTTTTTTACATAACTACTAATGCAATTCTTGTGTGTCAATGTGCAGGGAGATCATCAGGCTGGTCATCCAAGGATGAACCCGTCAATGCCTACAAATACCATGCATTATCAAGGTCCTGAGTCATCTTATAGCAGTTCACGTATACCACCGACAAATAGCGTGCCACAGGGTGAGGGTTCTAATTTCCAGCATAATAGGCCTTTTACTCCCCATCCCCCACCTTGTCCTCCACCACCACCTCTGCCTCCACACCAATACTCGTATATGCATCCCGGCCACCATTTGAAGTCACGAAGGGATGGTACTCAATACTCTCACAGATCTCATTATACTCCAAGTTTTGATGAAAGGAATTTTCATGATAACCATGAGAGAATGAGACCAGCTCCATACGATAACAGGGACAATTGGAGATATCCACCTCCCTCTTCTTACGGTGAGTTCCTGTGCCACCCATATGCATGTAAATGGGCATGGCTACTTTGTCAAGTTATGCGTGCATGGGTAGCCTGATTCCGTTATATTTATGCAGGTCCAAGATATCACGACAGACACAAGGGTACCTACCCACCGGCTTCTTACAGTGGCTCTCCACGCGAGTATGGAAGGTTTCAGAACCATAGGTGGAATTATCCTCCGCGTCCCCATAATAACAGACACTCATTTCACTATAAGCCTCATTCTGAAGGTCCTGTTCCAGTTGGAATGAGAGGTACGGAAAGTTCTAATAGTTTCTACTACCTGCTATCTTTAATTGTTTTGCTTTTCATGGAATCCCGTCATTTAAAAGAAAAAAAAATTGGGTGGGGTTGTTGGACTTGGACCTAAGATTGGGGAAATCATGTTATGAAATGAACCAGTCGTGTGGTGATTCTTTTTTAAGGAGGTTTAAAACTGAGTATCCTTGTGTGGATTCGCAGATCAAGGCGTGTGGCATCAGAGGTGACCACTGATCTTTAGGAGGGAACATAATTTGGTGAGTAGGACGCCATTGTCGCTCTAAATTTAAAGACGTTTGTTAGTTGTGGAAGGAGATATTAGATCTTTGGAGAAAGCAATAGCTATGCAGAGGTGCTGATATTGTTCAGAAAGGACTTGTTGGGATATATATATAAAAACATGTGGAGGGGGAGGGAGGATGAAGTTATTGTACATAAAATATCTCAAAACAGCGGGAGGAGGTGGTAAGCCAATTTGTAGAGATTGGGAAGAGTTTGTACCTAAAAGCAAAAAAACTAGGCACCTTCAGGCTTGCTCCCTTTTTTTTTTCTTGGGTTCTGATTTTGCCCATCTCTTTTTCATCAATGTTATGGTAATCTATGTGCCGTGAAGGTCAAGTTCCCTTACATTACGCGTCTGGTAGGAGATCAAGTTCTAATTGAATTGTTACATAATAAAACATTTATCCGCCATGTGTGTTTTTCTAGTTTAGTTGGATTTGGGGTATAAATAAATATTTGTGTATTCGTCTCCTTGAAAGATTTGGACCCGGCTCCAACAATCTGAATATATGTGTGTGTATGGTTCGGCCTCGTTATAACTCAACGGTCCACCTCAATTTGCATTCTGCGTTCCTGTAATTAATTTGTAGTTGTAAAGCTGCTGTATGTTTAAAGGGTGAAATTAATGAATGCATTTGGGAGTAGATAGTTCCATTAGTAACACAACAGCCGGAGCAATCAAAATTAATACGTCTACTTACTTATTTGAGCAAATGGAAGATTTTAGTAACTTTGACTTTGACATGGCCTTTTTTTTTTTTTTTTTTTTTTTGG